GTAATCATGAGCCATCATTAAGAGAAATGAGAAAAGGGGGTATAACACCAGCCATACTCTCCCCAACCTACCCACGCTCTCATGCTCTCTGTACCCCTTCATCGCCACATTAACCACAAACTTCCACCCCTCCAACCTAACCCCCAAACCACCCCGCAACACCCCTCACCCCCATCTCCCCAACCCGCCACCCCTCCCACCCCGTCCCCAACCCCGCAGCCCTCAGCACCCCACACTGCACCAGCGTACTACACCCCGCACCCACGCCCACCAACACCCCCGCCCTCAAATACCCACAATCCATGAGAATCTCAAGGGCAGCCACGTTATTCACAATAACGGCCCAGCTGACAGCCGTGGCGCTGCTGGGCAAGTCATAGTCCCAAATGATGAGTAAGATGGGGAAAAGCTTGGTACAGCTGCTGATGAGGAGAGCAGTGCTGAGAGGTGTGGGATGGGGAAAGTAGGGGATGAGTTTGTGGTAGAGGGATGTTGGGGATGAGGAAGAAGGGGGGGTAGGTGTACTGGGGGAGAGGCAGCAGAGTAGGCGGATGGGGAGGTGGAAGGCTAGTGTGCTGAGGGTTACGAGGACGAGGAAGAAGAGGTATTGTATGAGGAGGGGTTGGGCTTGTAAGACGAGTGCGTTTGTGGGGGGTGGTGGGTGGGCGGATGTGAAGGGGGTGTTTGGGAGGGAGGGCGCGGCTGTGGTGTAGTAAGGGGAGGAGGGTGGGAGGGGCAATTTTTCGATGCGCGCCCAGGTTAGGTAGACGTCGAAGAGGAGGAGGAGGATGCTTAGGCGGAGGATGGAGCGCTGAGGGTGGTGCGTGGTGCGCATTAGCATTTGAGACCTGTGTGAGAGTGCGTGTGGGGAACATACGTCGAATTTATCATCGTCGCGGCCTAGACGGTTGAATAGCAAATGTCTGTATAACTGCATTCACATGCGCATTAGCCGGATATTCTCATCCCGCAAGTATCCCATTTCCGCTGCTCCAGCAAGAGACATACCTCGGGCTTGATCAATATCAGATCAATAAACAGCACTACGAAATCATGCTCCACGTATTTATCTGCAAACCGCTTGCATCGCGGACATTGCGTTAGTCGCACGCCCTTTCCTAGCGCGCGGTCGTCCGCTTTGGAATACGTCGTGTACAGTGTTTTGACTGGGTATCGGCAGGAAATGCAGATTGGCATGGTCGTGGTGGTGTTCCGTTGGGGGGATGGTTTCTGGGGGCCGGGGTTTCAGCGTTTGAGCGACGCGCATGGGAAGCGCGCTACATTGTTGGTGAGCGTTGGTGTACGGTTCGAAGTGGGCGAAGCGTAGAATTTGCAGGAAGGAAGCGTGTGCGTGGACGGTTGGAGTCTGAAGAGATCATGAGATGGAATGGGCTGTTGGTGAGAGTTCGAGACACGGAGGCATCGTTAAGCGGGGATTGGACGGTAAGTCCGAACATTGATAGTATCATTTACATTTCTACAACACATGCCATATCAATGCTATTGAATAATGGCTATGCAGTAAACTTCACTTCACTAATCGTCATTTATGAATGGAAAGATTTCGTGAAAAGTTATGAGTCTGCCTGTATATCCGCGCCGTTGCAATCCAAAAAATCATCAGATGGGAATATACAGACATCCAGCCGTTGACATCGTAAAAAGAAAATAGGAAGCAAAGAAAACCCAGAAAGCCTGTTCCCTTTCAGACCAACAACGCCATCGTAGAATCCCGAACATCGTCTTCGCAACCAGACACCTGACCGCAACCGCACTCAAGTTAACGTGCTCATCATCGCCGCAACAATCTTGGGGTTCGGTCGGTCCTTCACTCGTCGTACTATCCAGATGAATCAACGAGTCGTTCTCAATGGGCCGAGCGAACAAGGGCTAACCTACCCTTTCGATCTCTATCGACACGGACAACCTCCTTCTTGGGTGTCCGCTCGATGAACTCGTACTCGCGATCACCCTCACGCTCATACTTGAGCATGCGGCGTTCTTCCTCTAGGAAGCGAATCTCATCGCGGATATCACGCTCTGTGCGATGATCGTCTCTGCGAACTAGCTCTCCTCGGCCGGGGAGGAAGGAGGTGGCCGGTCCGTGGATCTCATTGGAACGCTCAATTTCGACATATCGATCGTGCTCATGTACTGATGGAGAAGGTGCGCGCTGTGACGGGGCGTAGTGAGAAGATGGTGCCGGAGCATAGTGACTTGGCGGCACGGGTGCATATGCCGAAGGGGGTGGAGGTGGAGCATGCATCACGGAAGGAGGCGCAGGAGGTGGTGGAGGTGCAACGGAAGCAGGCGGTGGTGGTGGTGGAGCGGGAGCCTCGATCTGTTCTTCATACACATATGTGACTTTTTCTGCCTCCCTGTTAGCTGCTGTCTGTTTTTCGTCTGAGGCTTCACATACCCTCTTTGTAGTTTTCACTGATCTTGATGATCTCGTCAATATGCTCCTTCTCAAGGGCTCGTGTAACGATAAGGAAGTTATCCTACTTCTGTTAGTTAGGCTCTCGACATGAGCAGAGATTGCCTACTTCTTCCTCAAAGGGGTACCCAAGTTCAATGATTGCTTGCTTCTTCACAAGGCGCTTTGGGAGTCTTGTCTTGCCCCTCTTGCCCCAAGTCGCGCGAGGTGGCTGAATCTCCTCGAAGCTGGACATTGACGAGCTGCGTGTCGATTTTGCTACGCTCTTACTCCGTCGTACACGACTCTTTTCGCGGTGAACTTCAACCTCGCGATAGCCTTCCCGTTCCCTACCCCTTGCACTGCGGTCTTCGAATCTGACATCTTCGTAATCGTCCTCATCGTGGTAGCGGCGAGGAGGCGACCGACGGCGCTCGCGAATAGGCAGTGGAATGGGGACATTGGCAGGGGGGCGATAGTCGTGTCTCTCCAGTTCAGTGTAGCGCGGGAGGGGCCGGCGATCGAAAGTATCTAGAGATGATTGGCGTCGAATATAGCCTGGTCGTTGTGGTCGGGCAGGTTGTCGTCGGTCATCGATGTTGATGCCAATGTTGATGTCCTTGTCGATGACGGACCGGCGACGGTAGGGAGCGAGTGCCTGGTTGGCTATTTCAGAGGGCGTCGGCTCATGGAAGAGGTCGTTGGGGCGGCGGGAAGGGCGTTCGAAGCGTTCGTCATGGATAACTTCTCTCTCCATGACTGGAGGACCGGGTCGTCGGCGGTCCTCGTGGATGTCAATATCCCTGTGGCCTCCTGGATAGCGGTCATGCTCCTGGTAGCGAAAGTGTTCGTAGTCATCACGGCCACGGCTTCCCGTGCTGCTTCCAGGTGCAGGGCCACCTGCCACATTTGCCCCGCCTCTTCTTATGCGCTCGAACTTTTCGCGATCCCATCTCTCCGCCGCGCCGCCACGAAGCGGCTCATCGAAGCGATCCAAATTGCCCGTAGAAGAGCGGTAGGCGGACATGGTTGATGGATCAGTAGCTGGATGACAGCTGTGGTTGTTGAGGTGATGCAGCAATCAATCTCTACAGTGTACACACAGTAAAGCGGGGTCTACCGAGTCAAGTAGTACTCTATACTATACTTTACGTCCAAGGCAAGTGGAGATGATGACCGAAGTTTCTCGAAGGCTAGAACACTTGCCTCTCCAGGTGATTGAAAGCGGCACAACGAGCGGATGGATAGCGAGAGAAATCGGGGTCCAGAAGGCTTTATGGGAGAAGAGCGGGGCGGGGGAGGACAACCAACTTTCCATGGTGACCTTCTCGACCGTGTTTCGTCATCGGCGGCGCTCCCAGCTGCTCCTTCCCCCCATGTCACCTACCTACCAATACCCTGCCTGCCTGCGTCCCTCTGCCGGCGATGCGTTAGCCTGCACCCATGGCTGGCGAAACAAGCTTCTGATGCCCAATAGCTAGGTACCGTAGTCTTTGACTCTTGCTGTTCTGCATGAATCCTTTGCTTGCACCGCACCGGTGAACTCTCATGCGAACTGCCTTTTTTTTGGGCGTTGAGTTTGGGCATTCGCTAGGGAAGCACACAGGTACCGTAACCCAACGACTGGGCCCCGACGACTAGTCAGTAGTACCGGTACTGTATAGTAGACACAGGAACCATGTTGGGCGACGCTGAGGCATCCCCGGCATTACCCAACTCCAACTCCAACTTCAACCGTCGGCGTAGGTGTTACCGGGTCCATCCCTTCATGTTTGTCTTGTCATCTCCGCGCGGCACAGAGGGGATGTGTGTGTGTGTGTGTGTGTGTGTGTGTGTGTGCTGTGTAGAGTACTCATGCGCTCGGGTAGTTTGAGTATCATGTGATTTGCCACTGCTACGTCCCGGCTATTTTGATGGCACAAGACAAGTAACGTGATCCTCAAACTAGCCGAGATAACGAGTACGTGTGACTTTGGGCGGATGCTACCAGGTGACGTCATAGCTACAGCCAAGTGTCACGAAGAGAAGGAACCTTGGAAGCAGGCCGCAAGAGGTCGGCCCGGCGGCTGTGCTCCTCAAGCTTCCTAGCGCTAGTGCACCATTTTGGCTATTCACAGTACCTACTAAGGTACTCTAGGAGTAAGTTGACATCTGGAACTTCAGCTCATGCTTCAGCCTCACATGACCACATGACCAGTCAAACATGAGAACGCATGCACAACAACAAGCTCAGGTGACTCGGTACTTGCACGTTCAACTACCGGCCGCTACGGCGGTACTTGCCTCGCCTACGATACTGCACACAGTATAATACATCTTCTCACACTGGCAAAGCGTATTGCCTTGTCATCACTATAGTACATTCATTGTACACATATAATCCACAAACTTCTAGCTAGGTATCAATGTACCAAACCCTCGTCTCAGCGAATATCTTCAGTCATTGTTCTGCCATGGCTACATGACACTCCATTATCATGCCATCATCTTCTCTACTTCTTCGCCTCAACCACTTCTTCGATTTTCTTCCTCAGATATTCAACGTCACATGGCCTCCCCTGCACCTTCCCCATGACCCGCCCTATGACTTCTCCTACACGCTTCGTGCCCTCCCCCGTCTGTTTCACCACGCTCATCACCAGCTCGTCCATCTCGCTCACCGTCATCCTGGGGAATTCATCCGCATACGCTTGCAACACGTCTAGCTGCTCTTGCTCCTTTTGCACGAGATCCTCCCGTTTTGCTGCCTCGAACTCTTGCATCGCAGTCCTGATCGCCTTGATTTGCCTTTGCACAAGCGCGTACAAGGCACCGTCTGTGTCAATGGGCTTTGCCGTCTTGGAAGCATTGATAATCTCGGCTTGGAGAGTGCGAATCGCGTTCAGTGCCGGCTTGTTCTTGGAGCGCATGGCGGTTTTGAGATCGGATTGAAGGCGGGGGAGGATGACATTTTCCGGTGTTGTTGAGCTCGAGTGGCGGACGGATAGGATACGGAGACTGATGGGCGATCGGGGAAAGGTGGTGGTGAGATTGGCTCTGAGGAGCATTGGGCGGAAGAGCGACATGGTGGGTTTGGCAATGCAAGCCTTTTGATGGTAGGTAGATAAGATGGCCAACTGCTTATGATGGGGCACGTGCGTGAGACAGTAGAAGATCCTTTTCTGTTCCTCCGCAAAGGCTCTCTTAATCTAAAGGGCCTAGGTGTGGCAGCAATGGGCCGCTGAGCAGGTCTGTCTGTGTATGATCTGCCGAAGAGAAGTCCATGGTGGTGGTGGAGCGAAACTAAAATAATTTGGATGACATAAGACCGTAGGTACAATGCCTATTATGCACAGGCTAAGGTACCAGTACCGTCACGCTTAGACGCGCCTGGAGAGCACATCCCTGCACGCTTGGCACCCTATTGTTGTCGCGCATCGACTTTGCAGCTTGTTGCTGTGGAGAGCTTGGAGGTCTATTCACCATCGCAATTGTGCCCTGGCAGCTCTCTTGTTCCCGCGTCTGTGCATTTCTCTTCTTTTCCCATGGTCGTCATAACTTGCGCCTACTGATAGCTCATGTCGACTTGCCGGCGCGTCCTTCCAACCACCATCACCACTAACCACTACTACTACTACTACCACTACCACCACTACCACCTCCACCACCATCACTACTGCCTGAAGCTCGCTTCCTAGGCCGCGGCGACTCTCACACGCCCACACATCCCTTCTACACATTACCCGCCATGGCTTTCTCAATGCCCCCCGCGACGCCGCAGCGCCCTGGGCCAGGCGCATTTATCAACACACCTGCGCCTAATCGGCCAAACTTTCAGCGACACACCTCGGTATCGCAACCACAGCCGCAACCACATGCAGCGCTACCTGCGCCGCCAGCAGAGAGTCCTGTAGATCGTGCATCGCGTACCATCAACAACATGCTAGACAGAGACAGCCGGTTTCCAGCTCTCGAGGTGACGATTGGACGTGAGTAGTGGGAGCTGAATCGGCAGACAGGCACAGGGAAAGCTAACAAACGTCAACAGAGGGTTGTTCGGGTGACTATGAGATCGAGAACAGTCCAGCCTGGGCGCCATTCCAGCAATTACGTTCCTACAAACTGCCCGAGGCTGTCTTTGAGCAGGTGAACCAGACGCAAATATCAACAAGCATGGGCCTATTTGCGGAAATCAATCACGCCTGGGTGACAGTAGACAACCAAGTCTACCTCTGGGACTACACACATCCAAACCCCGAGCTCATCGGCTTTGAAGAGCAGCCGAGTAACATCACATGCGTTAAGCTGGTGAAGCCGCGCCCCAAGGTCTTTGTCGACACCATCGAATATCTACTCGTAGTGGCAACCATTGCAGACATCTTCCTCATCGCCGTCGAGTGCCAGAGGGGACCAGAGGGTGTCCATGGGGTCACGCTTTATCGCACTGGCCTTTCCACATCGGTGAAGAAGATCATGGTCGATACCATCGCAGGCTCCAACAAAACGGGTCGCATCTTTTTCGGCGATCGCAACTCGGAAGACGTATACGAGCTCAATTACCAGCAAGAGGACAAGTGGTTTTCGAGCAAGTGCAGCAGGACAAATCACGTCTCTAGCTCAGTCGGACTGTCGTCTTGGTACTCAGCTAAGAAAGAGGGCGGGACTAGGCAGATGGTGATAGACGACACGCGCAACATCCTCTATACCCTTTCCAGCCACGGCACCATCAAAGTCTACTACATGAAGGAACCTTCCACGCTTGAGTGTGTCATCACCAGAACTCGTGGCCAGCTAGCGACCATGTGTGGTCACATTATACAATCAGCCGGTACGCTCAAGGAGATGACTATTGTAGGCCTAAGCCCTATCACAAGTACAGAGGCGGACAACTTATCCTTGATGGCGACAACCTCCACTGGCTGCAGGCTGTATCTGAGTACAACTGCTGGTGGAGCTTGGAATTCCAATAGTACAAGCGCACCGACGAGCATGCAGTTGCGCCATATTCGATTCCCGCCAAGCGATGGCCGATCGGGACCCTCTAGCGATCACACACAATTACCGCCCTACCAAGCGGGCGCGCAAGTAGGCTTTGATTCTGACTACCTGCGGGAAACTAAACTGGCAAACCGATATGCACCGGGCGCATTCTTTTCATTCGTACAACGGTCGCCGAACGACATCAACGAAATCGCATTCATCTCAGCACCACACGCTGGTGTGCTGAGTCAGCGAGACAACTCTCAACCTGCACGATACCTGGAAACCGTGCTAGAATTGAATCTCGTAGGAAGGGTACGAGACATGGGCCAGGTCAGCGAGCCATCTCCTGCTCGTAATGAGCCTCTGGGGTTCGGTAACGAGTTGGCCACCCAATTTGATCAGCCTCTGTGTGAGTACGCCATCATCACATCCCACGGGATTGAGACAATTCGGCGGAGGAGACTGGTGGACATTTTTGCCTCCATTGTCAAATCGGGTGGACAAGAAGCTGCAGAGCTCGACATTAGGAAGCTTGCGAAACAGTACGGTCTTGCCGAGACTTCTGCTACCGCGCTTGCAGTGGCATGTGGGCAAGGATCAGATGTTGGTCCTGATTCTCGAATTGCAAAAGTCACAGATCCTGAAGTTCTTGACTTTGCTCGAAGGGTCTTCATCGAATTCGGCGGCAAAGCTCATTTGACGGAGAGTGCAACGGTTGAAGGTCTTAGCGTCGACAATGTCCGTGCTTCTCCTCGACACGACGGCATTGCCATGTACGTTGCTCGTCTGATCCGTTCAATATGGAACTCGCCTATCATTACAGAGGTCGCAATGCCCACCGGACCCGTACTTGCATCAACGCACAAGATTGCGAGGCTACAAGATATTCAACGATCTTTGGCTCAGCTACAAGAATTCTTGGAGGTGAACAAGTCATATATCGAAGGGCTGGCAGGCCCAGAAGCGCTGGGTCGAGTTTCTTCGCGGCAGGAGGAGGTTGAACTTCAGGGAGAGAATAGAGCGCTAACAAGTCTGCTTCTGATGATCAACAACATCGTAGAAGGTATCTCGTTTGTGCTGGTGCTTTTCGAGGAGCGCCTGGAAGATATCCTTATCCTCCTACCCGACCCGGAGCTACAGACAAAAGTACGGCGACTCACTTTCCAGGGCCTCTTCTCTGCTAAAGAGGGCAAAGATCTGGCACGCGAGCTCGTCAAAGCGATAGTCAATCGTAACATTACCAAAGGCTCCAACGTGGAAACCGTGGCTGAGTCGTTGCGGAGAAAGTGCGGCAGCTTCTGTAGCTCAGACGATGTTGTCATCTTCAAGGCCCAGGAAAATCTCAAGAAAGCCGTTGATTCGGGGGCTAACGCGGAACGCGGACGCATTCTACTCAACGACAGTCTAAGGTTGTTCGAGCAGGTGGCGAAGAGCTTGACTTTTGAAATCTTGACTGCTACGGTGAACAAGTACATTGAGCTCGAGTTTTATGCGGGTAATTGCCATCATATCAGATTTCATTGAGACTATACTGACCAGATGCTAGGTGCTATACGACTTGCTCTCAGAGTAGCTCAAGAGGCAGATCGAGGCAACAAGGCTCTTTCCTGGCTACGAGATCAAGGCGATGCCAATGCAGACCCGAACGATGTACGGCGGCAATACTTTGAACGACGAGCGTCTTGTTATACACTGGTTTGTAACGTGATTGAGGCTGTCGACCAGGCATTCAACAGTCAAGGTCCTGTGCCCGATGGTGTCATATCCCAGATTACACGTCGCAAGCATGAAGCCTACGAGCAGATCAACAACTCCGACGACGAAGTCTTCCAGAATTACTTGTACGACTGGTACATGTCCAAGGGCTGGGCAGAGCGCTTACTGGACATAAACTCGCCATATGTGGTCGACTACCTTCGTCAGAGCTCAGAGAAGGACATTGCACATGCTGATCTTCTCTGGCGATACTATGCCCATTACAACGATTATCTGAGCGCTGCAGAGACACAGTACCAATTAGCCAAGAGTTCCCTTCCCCTATCTCTAGAGAAGCGAATAGAGTATTTATCGCGTGCTAAAGCTAATGCTTCGACACGCATGACTGGCTTTTCGGAAACCGGAGTACGAAACAGGCAATCAAGGCAAGAGTTGCTACGGAACATTACCGACTGTCTAGATATTGCAAACATTCAGGACGATGTACTGCAGCGGATCAAAGGAGACGAACGGCTAACGGGCGAGAGAAGGGAGACAGTGATCCAGAACCTCAATGGCCAGATTCACACCCTGGATGAAGTGAGTCTTTTCCAATCCTCTTTGCAGACAGCAACCGCTAATAGCATCCAGCTCTATCACGACTACGCCGACCAGGCCGGCTACTACGACATCTGCCTCCTAATCTACCACGTAGCCGACTACCGCTCAGTCCCCGACATTCGCTCCACCTGGACCAACCTCATCGACCGCGTCCACCACACGGCCATCAGAGAGCAGCAAAGCTCGCCGTGGGAAGCCGTGGCCCTCAAAGTCCAAGACCTCGGCCACCGTGTCAATCTAAACGACAACATCTTCCCCATCTCCATCGTTCTCCAACTCCTCCTCCAATACGATCTCGACTTTTACGTCCACGACTCCACCACCGGCCTCAACCCCAACAGCCTCGCCTTCAACCCAAACATCACATGGCACCTCGACGTCTTCATCACCCTCAACGCCCCTTTTGAAGCCCTCATCGCCACCCTCGAGGCCCTCTGGTACGCTCAAGAAGCCCCGTTTACAGGCCGCAATCGCAAGCTCCTCGTGAAGTGGATTGTCTACACGATTGAGCAGTGGAGCCTGTCGAGTCGGCGCATGGGCGTGCTGTTTGGCGGTGCGGAGAATGCAATCGGTCTGGCGGAGTTGTTGCGCATCGTGCTTGGTAGTGATGTCCTTGGCCGCGATGTCGAGGATCAGGCGTGGGTTCAGAGGGCTAGGGAGGTTAGTGCGATTGTGGAGGAGGCGGCGCGGTGATGTTGAGGGATTGGTGAGGGGAGATGTGCGGGATGGGGAGGAGAGGGCGCATGGCGGAGTATAGCTGGGTGTTTGTTGTTATTTGTTGTTGTCGTTGCTGATGGGTTTTCCTTGTAAAAGTGATGAGAGGAGAACAGAGATGAGGATTCTTTTTTTCGTTTTTCTCTATAGCGAAGCGAGAGGGCGAATTATTGGTCTTGAGATGGGATCATTGTGGTATCAACTTGTATTGTTCTTGGTCTTGGAATTGGACTTGGTTCACGTGCTGGGCTGTGCTGTCCTTGACCTTCTTTCTTCTCCTGTCTCACTGTTCTCCCTCGCTCCTCCCTCCGCGCCCGACAGCCAAGGCACACAGATACAACACAGCACGTGAAACACAGCCTATTCTTTTCTCAAGTGTGAATTTTATGTGTAAGGGTGATAAACAACTTGCTTCATTTTTCCTTCTATACAGTTTTCGTCCCGTTGTGATGCGCGAGAGGTCTATGAAATGGGAAGCGCGATATTGTTCCATCGCCAGGCGTGCAAGTGTACAATGTCTAGGTCACGGAATCTAGGATTTCCATACATGTGGGCGGTTGGGGTTGTACCGGTAGAAGAGCGGTGTGGTGGGGGGGGTTAAAATTAAATCGTCTTGGTCTTGCTGGACAGGGCGTGTTGATGCTGTGATGTGGTGATGATGTGGTGTAATCTTGCGTAGCAGTCGAGGGTCATGAGGAGTCCTGGGGTAAGGGGGTTGGAAGGTTAGTTTTTATGCTGTTGTTTTGGGTTGGGGGAATGGAAGGGCCAACAGCCTTGCCACATTTCTCTCTCTCTTTCTCCCGCCTTGTACTGCATTCTCCCATCCACATGGACATCCCAACGCTACCGAGGAAATAAGAATAATTGCACGTACCAAAAATAAGATACCCACCATACATAGCCCCCAGCCCCTGTAAACCCCTCTGCATACTACTCAATTCCTCCCAGCTTAACATGTCGGCCATGCAAACTAGCGTCGTGATGCTGGTCTCGAGACCGAACACGAGGAGTGCGAGAGGGATGTGCGGGGAGTTGCGGAGGAGAGCGGGGATGGCCCAGAGGGTGAGGGGGAGGTGGTAGATTAGTTCTAGAGTGAGGAGGGTGGGGAAGTATGCGCTATGGGGGTTGTTAGTGTAGGCCGAGGTGCCAGAGTATGATGAGGATGAGGTCGGATTGATGTGCCATGTCCGCTTGTCTGGGATGGGCTTGCTTACGGTGGATTGTAGAAGAAGCGATCGCCGTATGTTGTGATGTAGAATTCGCGAATCGTGGTCATCCACTGGGGTTTTAGGTTGGCTGGGTAGAAGCCCGTCAGGTCGAATGCTGGTACATTTGTTAGTATCTTGAAGCACCTTGTCTCGACAGAGACCGTGTAGTAGTTTCAATTGCTTGGCTTTGCCATGGTATTTGACAAGTACGTGTTGTGAATGTAAAACCATGTTGAGATATGAAATATGTGACTGAACTGGAGTGAGAGGGAATGGGGAGAGAGAAGTGTGGAACTGTGAATAACAGTCTACAGCATTGAAGGATATTTTAAAACATGGAATACCAGTATACCACACTTGAGACGAAACATTGGAGGAAAAAGACGAAGCCCATAACAAAATCTTAGTAAGCTGTGAGGTAACTTACCCAGCATCACAGGAAGATGTATAATGAAGAATACAAGATACGCAAAGTCGCGCTTTCTCTGAAAAATCGAAGTCGCCATTCCTTCGTCTGTTTAACTTACAAATTTGCGTGTCTTGCAAGAGTCGTTCAAGCGATGTTGATCGTGGCAAGGAGAAAGTTTGGGCCGCTTGCCTAGAGTGGGTTAGCGCTGGGGTGGTGTTGTTGTTGCGCCGAGTGATCAGGTACAAAAGGGTCATTGCCAAGTTCATCGTTGGGTCCATCTCAACGTCCCTAAAGTCTGATAGGCTTCACTAAGCGGAGCATTAGGAGCTGTAGATTCAGTAGATTTGTTTTGTGTGGCTAAACTGATTCGCTGCAACATGACCCATTGATCCAGACTCTAGAGGATCTATCTTGCCGTACTTTATATATTTCTCTCTTTAGCTCAAATAAAGTAATCAAGAAGGGATAATGCGAGGAAATGTTTGACATTGACATGGCTCGAGTTTATATCATAGATACAATTCATACTATAGAAGCGAGTCTCGATCTAGACGATCGTCGACCATGCGAAACTCAAGACCGGTGTTGTTCATTAGTTATTTGGAACCATGTAAACACAAGGTTTCTCGTCAATACTTAATCTCCTTATTTGATTTTTTTATAGGCTTAGGTAACACTACTCAGGGCTTTTGGATACGGCATCGAGGGTTTTGTTGCGTGGGATTAGTTGATACACATCTGGGTTTACATCGACCTGAATCATCGGATCAAAAGGCAGCATTGGCAATGACTGTTGAGAGAAATAGCGATGCCTGGATATAATTATTCACGTGTGCAAGCTAGAAGTGCAGAGTGATTTTTGTTCGAGGTGTACTAAATACAAATGAATATTTGTTCCCGAAACTTATCGCTCGGTTCCAAATGTTCTACAGATATCCAAGGCCGAGGGCGGAAGGCACATTGAGATTATCTTACTTGGGGTCAAGCTTATACCCAAGATGTTGTTTTGGATGGAGTTTGTGCAAACAAGTGGGTGGTACCCGAGGCCATGGATCTCAGTAGGCAGAACGAAAAATATCGTGGACTGAGCGGTGAATGTGGTCCTCCTCCATACCTTACTGTGGCGCGTGACCTCGTGACGTGAGACCGAAGGCGCCTTTCCCAATTCAGCCGCACTACCTCCGCTCGGGCAATCACCGCGTCAACCTGGTTGCCTACGACATCATCACTCCAACATACCAAAGCTACATTGTAGCTACCATACAACATGAGATCTTCTGTACTGTTTTCATTGTATGCGGCGACGCTGGTTGCAGCTGTTGCACATCCCAAAGACCCTCAGATCGTGCTCCAAGAGTCGCAGGCGACCATCGTTGAGCCGGATGAGTACCTCATAGAGCTGTCTCCTGGCGAGACGCGATGGGTTACTGAAGATGACAAGTGGGCGTTACGACGGGTATGTCCTTGTATTCGGTGCCATATCTGCCTATAAAGTGAAACATGGCGACGACGGATGTTAATGAGCGATAGGAAAACATCAACTTCTTCGACATCACACATAACAAGGAGCTTGGAACCCTGAATCATAAGCTCTCCACGGAAAGCGTCAAGTTTCCTTCCAAACCAGCGCACAATGAGAGCATTGTACCACTGCTCAAAGAACTGAAGAAAGAGAACATGCGCACACATCTCGAGACCTTCACCTCGTTCCACACACGATACTACAAGTCCCACTACGGTGCCGAGTCATCAGCGTGGCTGCTTGAACAAGTCAGGAAGACTTTGACAGATGCTGGGGCATCGAAAGCCTCCGTGAAGGCATTCCCACATCCTTGGGGTCAGGCTTCCATCATTGCCACCATTCCTGGCAAGAGCGACAAGACGGTTGTCATTGGTGCTCACCAGGACAGTATCAACCTGTTTCTACCCTCCATTCTTGCCGCACCAGGCGCCGACGATGACGGCAGTGGTACTGTCACCATTCTTGAAGCACTACGCGTGTTACTCAAATCCGAAGAGGTACTCAAGGGCGAAGCAGACAACACAATCGAGTTCCACTGGTACTCTGCCGAAGAAGGCGGCCTTCTTGGATCTCAAGCTATCTTCCAGTCCTACGAGAAGGAAGGTCGGGATGTCAAGGCTATGCTCCAGCAGGACATGACTGGTTATGTCCAAAAGACTCTCGACGCAGGCGAACCTGAGTCTGTTGGCGTCATCACCGACTTTGTCCACCCAGGTCTCACCGAATTCATCAAAAAAATTATCACCGTGTATTGCGATATTCCATATGTCCTGACCAAATGCGGCTACGCTTGCTCTGATCACGCAAGCGCCTCAAAGGCAGGCTACCCATCAGCCTTCGTCATCGAATCAGACTTCAAATACTCTGATAATAAGATCCATACTACAGAGGACAAGATCGAGTACCTCAGCTTCGATCACATGCTGCAGCATGCTCGTTTGACGCTTGGATTAGTGTATGAGCTTGCATTTGCCAAGTTCAAGTGAGCTTGATGCCAAGACGGAAGGCCGCAAATCGTACGAAGTTTGGATGATATTTAGCCATGTATAGGCATATAGTAAATTCAGCATATATTTGTTCCGTTGCGCATCAGACATCATGCTTTCCTAGACGGAGATCGAACATCCTGGCGACCCTGGCCCCAGCCCAAGATTGGCCCACTGGAATGTTGCTTAGCTAACAACACTAAGTTTGCTTCAATATGCTTTTCGGTCATGAAGTATCCTTGCCCTGAACAGCGTAATTAGCATCCGGAGACTTTCTGAAGCTTTGTACAAACGAATTATAGTTTTAGCTCATGGAAGCCATGTCATCGCAACCCTGCAGCCTCCTTTGATTGCCGTGATGGACTTCATAATCTGCTTTCCTACGCCCGAGATTTTAACTGCTTCTCCTCTAGATCTGGAACTTCCCTCGCACAGGCGCTTGACCAGCTTTAGTAATGGTAAAGCCCATTATCTTTGGTGACTTTCTACTCAGAAACGCCTCGAGTGATGACGCTACTTACTTCCTATACGGGCTCGTGGATGAGTATAGGATTACACATCGAAGAGTCCAGCCGGAATTCGATGTGCTGCTATGCATTTGCAGATGTCTATACCACCAGCCTAGCCGGAACAATGCAAAGTCTAGGCCATCAACATCAGGCCACTTATGCATCGAATACACATTGAAAGCTAGAATCATTTGTTTCAAGATATGTTTCAAGTGTTTAACAATCACTACGGTAAAAAATTGTTTACTGTAGAATGGTACGCTAGGGGTTTACTATATAGGTGTAAACTAACCTCGTGTATACCCATAAATAGGTTTAAAGTGGTGGTTTACTTTTATTAAAGTGGTAGTTTACTTTTATTAAAGTGGTAGTTTACTTTTATAGTAGGGGTTTAAATTAAGTATAAAAAGTAGTTTTATTTCTATTATACGCTATAATACCTAACTAAGACTAAAAGGGGTAGAAAAGATTAGCTTCACGCTATACGCACATATGACATAATAATAAGTCATGATATTTTACTAATAGGAGGTGGTGATAATAGGAGGTGGTGATAATAGGAGGTGGTGATAATAGGAGGTAGTGATAATAGAGGTGGTGATAATAGAGGTAGTGGTGATAGAGGTGGTGGTAGAGGTAGTGGAGGTGGTGGAGGTAGTGGAGGTGGTGGAGGTAGTAGAGGTGGTGGAGGTGGTGATAATAGAGGTGGTGGAGGTGGTGGTGGTGATAGAGGTGGTGGAGGTGGTGATAGAGGTGGTGGTAGAGGTGGTAGAGGTGGTGAAGAAGATTAAAGAAAGGAGGGGTAAAATACTTAGATAGTTAGTAGGAAACTAGTTATTACAGTACTACGTAATACTAGTAGATTAATAGAAGTAGAAATAAAAGTAGTTTACTTTTGTAGAATACATAGTATAATAAACCCTATTTAGGTTTACTTCTTCTACCTAAACCACTTCTTAGTCTACTTTAGATAAATATGGCTACTGTAAACTGGTTTTGTATCGTAGTGAATGATTCAACGCTGGTAGAGAGCATAGTTCTCTTTACTGTGTTGCAGGTGTAAACTGGGACTGAAGGATACAAGCCGAGCACCGATACTAAGGCCAGCAAATAGACTCTGCAACTAAAAAAGGCGAGCCTAATCTTCTTCGAAGTTTGCCGGACTCTTGGGTATGACATAAGCTTGCAAGTTCTTTTGAGTCATGTGGATATTTTCGCCATGTGATAAGTCGAGATCTGCACACTGTTTACATGATCAGCAGATGACAGACAAGCAATGAGCTTGATGACAGGTGAGGGATTACATGTATGTGATACTATTTTACTTGCTCCAGAAAAAAAAAGAGAGGCCGTTCAGTCGCACATTGCCGCCAGAATGTTTGTGAGTTAGCTTCGAAACGCAGGCCTATAGGCTATTAGACTGTTGCTTTTGCTTACACAGATCTTGCTAGGCCTGCTTTGAAGTCACTGGTATTGATGAGCCAATAGTAGTTCAGGGTGATAGACTTTATCAACTCGTCTTGCCGTATCAATTTCTGCAGCGAAAATACTCGTCTACACAGGATCTGACTTTTTTTTCATGCCGAATCCATTCATCGAATTGGTAGGGGGTAAGTTTTTCTGCATTGTCCAATCTCAACGTAAATAAAAGGATTCTCGATCAGGGAAATTACTGTATGGGTGCTAGAACATACCTAGATATTTTTGTTCCTTTTTCTAACTAGTAATTTTTTTAAGTAAACCAA